AACATGCTAGAGAATCCTGATGACTATTCGCCATTAAGACTTATAGTCTCTGGAACTGGAKGAACTGGAAAGTCTTATGTAATCAAGTGTTTACAACGACTGGTAAGACAAGTATTTGAAAGGAACGAGGCAATACAGGTTATTACCCCAACAGGTAATTCAGCTTATYTAGTGGAGGGACGTACCGCTCATAGCTTTTTGTCGCTACCAACTGTTGGGAGATGTTGCAGTGAGCTAGCTAGGCCATCGGGATCTGTTCTTGAAAGAATCCAGAATAGATGTGAAAATTTGAAAGTGCTTATTGGAGACGAGCGATCAATGTTTGGCCGGACTACAATGGGCTGGATGGAGCAGCATACCCGATATGGAGTGAATAGGGGAAATTCTTCCGAAGAACTCTGGGGAGGCATTCTAGCTGTTGTTATGATGGGAGATGATGTGCAGTTACCTCCTGTCTGTGATACACCCGTCTATGTACCTGATGCTCGTAGTGCACCCTCTAACCATGGAAGATTGGTGTGGACAAATTTTGATAGCGCTGTAGAACTAACCCAGATAGTAAGACAATCCGAGTCAGAATTGCAGTTGCGAGATGTTCTAATGTCCATGCGAACCTATACCACCACATCTGATCAAGTTCGCTGGCTTCAGCAGTTTCAGTGGCACAATCTGGAAAGGACTCATGGAGAAGGGCTATTGCAGAGGATGGATGAACACGGTTTGTTTGTGTTCCCGACTCACCGTTTGGAATGGGAACGAAACAAGAGTAAGCTGCTCGAGTGCAATCATTTGCCAGATCATCCAGTTGCAAAGATCAAAGCAGTAAATAABGGTAAGCACGCTCAGAAGGCTGAAAGCAACAAGGCTGGAGGATTACTACAACTTCTGTACCTTTGTCGTGACAGTAAGGTCATGCTTGTGGCAAACCTGAAGGCTGAGTGGGGTTTGTACAATGGAGCAGTTGGCACAGTTGTGAATGTTATTTATCTTAATGGTMGACGGCCAACTGATGATCCCCAACCACAACCAGATGTTGTTTTAGTGCGTTTTAATGGATACAGAGGACCAGCCTTTATTGACGATCACCCAACTATTGTACCAATTGTACCAATTAGTAGATCAATTGAATAAGCATGTAGATGCAAGCGTGTTCAGATTCCTCTAAGACTTGCTTGGAACGGCAATTCATAAATGCCAAGGGATGACAGTTGGTGAAGGAGAAGCATTTAGATATGTTGTTATACATCCTGGTAACCATGCGTTTRAAGCGAAGAATCCTGGAGCACTGTTTGTTGCATTGTCCAGAGCAAAGTCAGCTGGTGTACCAGACTGGGATCCCGACTTCGCTTTTCATCAAGACGTTTTGATAAACGAAGACAGGTTTCGTGAAGTGAACACGCCAACAATACGTTCTCGAGCAGCAGAGATAGAAAGGCTGCGTAGGCTTTCAGTAGAATGCCGAGGCAGAGAAAGTTTAGTAAGAGCATATGAAGAATCGACCTTTGAAAGGCTTGTCAATTGGGCTCAGTACAGAGCAGTTAGCTAAACAAACTCACTGATAATGGATATGATGCATCAAACAATGTGATCTACTGTACATGTAATAGAACAGCTGATTAGCTGATTATCCATATGTTGCACACATTGCCCCACAAAATACTGCATGAGAATGATCATTCAAATATAGATGCATGCTGTTAAAGTGCATATAGCCCCCTATTTAGAGTAATTTTCATATAATTCTAGACATAATTTTAAGCACTTCTGCGAAAAAATAAATCGATTTGGATAAATCTCTGATTTTTAATTGCATCCCTACTTTAGAGAGTCTTAAAAAATCAGGGATTTATCCCAGCTGAAAAGTGCATAAAATTATGTCAGAAGTCTAGAATTATATGAAAATCACTCCAAATGGAGGGTTAGGTGCACTTTATTGATAAGTAGTCTATGTAACATGCATCAGTTGTAACCTATGTGGTTACACTCTCTGGATTATTAACAAACAGATTATGATTAAGAAAATATACAATGTTGGCAGGGCTTCTGTGATAAAATAAATCAATGAAACCAAACATAAACTTACGCAAAGAATGTAGAGAATTTAAAGACTTTTAATTAAAATTGTTATATGATGCACTCTAACTTATTGGTCTAGCGATATTCTACTTCTCATGTATTTCCTGACAATGTTGTAGTACAGTGAAAGCTTGGATTTTTAAAATTCATTCAATCACAGCAACCCTGGCTACATTTGTATATATTCTCTTTGAATTAAACCTTTGTGGTTTAGACAAGCAATGTTTTGTGGATTTTTCTATGTAGTAATTTGCCTGATGAACAAAATTCAGGATAGTCCTTATTGATTATATATAATACGCATCTACTTTTATACAAAATTGCTATGTAAAAAAATCGAAACAAAAATATGCTGATTTTAACCTATGTGGTTCAAATCTTTTTTTCAAAAAATAGATGAATACAACTTATTTTAAAAAGCATGATAAAGTTTATATGCCCCCTTGTGGCCCAAATGAATGTCGATTTTAATCTATGTGATTAAAATCTTTACAAACTTTAAATGTAACTATGGTTTATAAAATGCATAGTACTTGAAAAATCCTGGCAACAATGAGACGAGCTGGTCACTCGATGAAACCCTCTGAATGGCAGAGTGGAATAAGCCACTCAGGTAATACCTGAGGTCTGTAAAATACCTCAGGGGGGACCAGGGAACCAATAAATCTATGCATTTATAAATGGTGAACTTCAAATTGATATTTCATGTTTGTTAGTACTCTACTCGACTCGACTCTACTCGATAATATAGTCGGAGCTCCGCTAT